AGTGTAGGTTCGTTCTGATGGCTCTCTCCACGAATGAAGAGGAGGTGGAGGGGTATATATAGCCTCCACACAAAATCTAACCGTTACACACAACTTGCCAATCTTGGTGGGACCGAATTGATAAACTCGGTCGGACCGATTCAGCAAATCTAGTGACCGTTAGGATTTTCGGTGGGACCGACATGCAACTCGGTAGGACCGATATGGTTAGGGTTAGGGCATAACGTAATCTCGGCGAGACCGATTACACAAACTCGGTGAGACCGATTTTGGTAATAAGCTAACCAGAGAGTTAGTTAGGTAAATTCAGTGGGACTGATTCGCTCATTTCGGTGAGACCGAAATGTTACGAAAGGGAAATAGAGAGTTTACATTGTAATCTCGGTAGGACCGATTACACAAACTCGGTAAGACCGATTTGGTAATAGATACATATAGAGAGATTACAATCCCATCTCGGTGAGACCGAGATCCCTATCGGTGAGACCGATTTGCCTAGGGTTTGTGGCAGTGGCTATGACATCTGAACTCGGTGGTGCCGGATAGAAAGAATCTGTGGGGCCGAGTTTGACTTTTGGTTTAGGTCATATGTGGATGTGAGAAAGTAGTTGAAGGCTTTGGAGCATATCACTAAGCATTTTGAGCAAGAAAAGCCATTAAGCAACACCTCATCCCTCCTTGATAGTATTGGCTTTTCCTATAGACTCAATGTGATCTTGGATCACTAAAATAGAAAATATAGAGTCTTGAGCTTGAAGCTTGAGCCAATCCTTTTGTCCTTAGCATCTTGAAGGGGTTCCACATCCTCTAGTCCGTGCCACTTCATTGTTGAACTTTTCTGAAACATACTAGGTAAAAGTGTTAGTCCAACAAGAGATATGTTGATATTAATTACCAAAATCACCTAGGGAGCACTTGTGCTTTCAATAGTGATGAGTATTACTGAGAGGGCCCAGAGATATCTCTCCGAAACACGGAGTGACAAATCCTAATCTCGATCTATGCCAACCCAACAAACATCTTCGGAGACACATGTAGAGCATCTTTATAATCACCCATTTACGTTGTGATGTTTGATAGCACACAAGGTGTTCTTTCGGTATTCGGTTGAGGAACATGTATAAGTCATGAAGAAAGCACTAACAATGAAACTGTAACGATCACAATGCTAAGCTAACGAAAGGTCATGTCCATCACATCATTCTCCTAATGATGTGATCCCGCTTATCAAATGACAACACATGTCTATGGTTAGAAAACATAACCATCTTTGATTAACGAGCTAGTCAAGTAGAGGCATATTAGGGACAATATGTTTTATCTATGTATTCACACATGTACTAAGTTTCCGGTTAATACAATTCTAGCATGAATAATAAACATCTATCATGAAATAAGAAAATAAATAATAACTTTATTATTGCCTCTAAGGCATATTTCCTTCACACTTTATTATAGTGAGATAGAGGGAGAGCTGACATGTTGGTCTATAGGTATTTTTTTAATTATAACATGACAAACAAGATTTGAGATGACATTAATGATGTCTAGTGGCGTTTTCTAGCACACGCCTAATGAAGCATTGCCATTTTTGAGCAGTCAAAATTCTTAGTGCCAAAATTGAATAGTGAGATGTAACCAGTGGCATAACTGATAAAGCCCTTTATTTTTTTGAACTCTATTACCAGGGAGTCTCCCCTGTCAGAAGAGAGTGATAACTAAAGGGAAGCGTGCCTACTAGGAATTGAACCCACTACCTACAACTAGCACAAAATAGGGCTAGCCACAACAACCATCGCCTTTGTTTGTTTATAATGGATAACCATTTTATATGTATTTTACCACGGCACATGTGGAAATTAATTTGTATTAGGGAAACATGTGCAAATTAAATGGGCTACAGATAGTGCGGCCCATTTGAACCTCCTCGTTTCTAAAATTTATTTGTAAGAAAGAATTAATAAAAATTATGTTCAAATATCTGTGTGATATAAATATTATATATACAAACTATTATTAATAAATAAAATATAAACCATTGTATTATATAAAAAATATTTACTTAATACGGTCAATTAATAAAATTTTAAATGTTTTTTGAATGAATACATAAATATTATACACTCACGGCTTATATTAAATTTTACAAAATGGATATTCATACAAACAGTTTAAATTTGAAATTTTGAATATTTTAAATTATGCAAATATTGAAGTATACGAACTTGCATAGAATTATTGAAATGTTTGTATAACTAATATAATTTCTTGAACTGTAGTTTTAAAAATATTTTTATTATTTGAAATTATACAAACATTTTTATAATTCTTAATATTATTTTAAATATATCCATATTTTTAAATATTATGTGAGCAATTTGTAAAAATAAGTTATTTCGTTTTTATGTAAAATATGTATAGAAAATATTCAAACGCTATTATTTAAATACTGAGAGTATACTTTACATAATTTTCGGGAATCTGAAATTATATTTTACATACTTTCTACAAATAAAATTAAAAATCAAACATGTACAGAATGGGCTGCACTATTTGCAGCCCTTTTGCACTCCACATCCGCCGTGACTAGTACATATGATTTTGTTATCCATATAAGGCAAATGAATGTTGTGGGTTTAGAGGCTAATTGATTCGTTGTCAAAGTTTGGCATTGCCAATATTTGGCAAAACCAAAAGTTACCAAAAATTGACATCTTTTTGAGAAGGGGGCAAGAACCAATTGGTAGCCAACCAATTGAGAGCCAAGTTTTTAGACTTGCCAACAATTGGCATGTCAATTATTGGCACAAAACCAATTAGGCTCTTAGTGGCTAGCTAGCTTGTTTTTGTGGTGTTCGTTTCCCACGTGAACATGTGCTTTTCTGTGAAAAATAATAATTCGAGGGTGTTTTTGAAAAACCCAGGCCACACGACCCCTTCTCCCTGTCCAGTTGCTGACAATGGGCCCACGCGCCTAGCCATTGCCGATTTTGTAATGAGATAAGCATTGTATTTACACGGCAGAGCCAGGTTTTCCACCAGTTTGATGTACACCACAACTTCTAGCACCAAAGTGATCTTTTGCACCAAGTTCTATCATCACCAGTGTAATTGACTCTTTATTGTACATTTTGGTTCCTTTAAAGCTGATGGCTTATTGATTTATTTGAAATATTTTTTTGTAGAAATATCTACAGGACTATTTTTACACATTTATTTGAATTTAGAGCTCTTACAATTTGTTCAATGTGATTGCATTTGTATTCACACATATCATTGCATATTCATGGGTTTTGTGCTCTTCTGAAATTATATATTGTATACCTCCTATTTTGTCCGTTTGGTATTGTAGAATACATCCTTCAAAAATGAAAAAAGTTCTTTTGAAAATTTACTCATGAATGAAATACCGAGGCGTGATCATAAAGTCTTGTGCGTGCAAACCACCTACTCCTAGTAATATTAAGAGGCCTTAAGTTTTAGTTTCGCTCGAGGCTTCGAAATATCAGGGTTGGCCTTGCACTCCGGCGACATTCTCCTGCCGCAACAAAGCCTCGGTCTCGTCACTTGCGGCGGACCGGTTCATAAGTTTTAAAAGCATCCTTATAAGTGAAGGTGCTTCGTCGGATCTGGGTATGGTGGTTGTTCTCCTTTTTCTCTGGCGATGCCGGAGGACGATGATGGAAAACGATTCAGCAAGGCACAAGGTTCTCCATTCATGAAATTGTAGTTTTAATGGTTGCAGGTTCTTCGGTGCAAAATTGTAAAACACCTATGTATGTCCCATGTGGTGACCACGTATATACTCTGTGTATTATGTTCGTCGAACAAAATATGTATGGTTATTTCTCAAAAAGAAAAAGAAAAACTATCTCAGACGGTCCTCTGTTTCCCATCTTCTTCCTGTTCGATTCTCTACCTTGATTAGTTCGTTATACAGTGAGAAAAACGTTTTGGATATCTCTCAGAAGAACTCCTGACGAAACCTTCAATTTAGCCAGGTGCGCCTTAGTCTAGAACTGGTCAGCAAAGGTGCGCCTGCATGCAGCCAGGCCTGACCGGATTACATACTACGCGCGTCAAAGTAAAAACAATCCCTCCCCAATGTCGCCGTGCGGTGCAATGATCCACGCAGTACGTAGGCAAAACCAACACCAACACCAGAGACCCAACAGAACACCTCTCGTCCGCCCCGACGTGCGACGCAAGAATGGGAAAAAGCCAACGGTCTACGTTTAGTCGCTACCACCTCATCTATAAAGCACACCGCGTCCAAACATGCAAGCCTCACTTCAAACTTCACACGACACACACAAGCCGTTCGCGCGCTCCCTTCACCAATCGACCTCGAAGTCGACCACTATGGCACTCGCCATGGCCGCCGAGCTCCCGTTCTACCTGCTCCTCCTTCCCCTCGTAGCCATAGTCCCGCTCCTCTACTTGGCGGTGTCCCGCGGGAGGCCCGGCTCCGGCCGGCGGCTGCCCCCGTCGCCCTGGGCGCTGCCGGTGATCGGCCACCTGCACCACCTCGCCGGCGCGCTCCCGCACCGCGCCATGCGGGACCTCGCGCGCCGCCACGGCCCGCTCATGCTGCTCCGCTTCGGCGAGGTCCCCGTGGTGGTCGCCTCCTCCCCGGACGCGGCGCGGGAGATCATGAAGACCCACGACGTCACCTTCGCCACGCGGCCCATCAGGCCCATGCAGCGCCGCATCATGGAGGGCGCCGAGGGCCTCCTCTTCTCGCCCTACGGCGACGCGTGGCGCCAGAGCTCCTCAGCACCCACCGTGTCCACTCCTTCCGCCCCATCCGCGAGGACGAGATCGGCCACCTCCTCCGCTCCGTCGCGTCAGAGGCGTCGCCGGCGAGGCCGGTGAACCTGTCCGAGCGGATAGCGGCGTTCGTCGCGGACTCCTCTGTGCGTGCCATCATCGGCAGCCGGACGCCGAACCGCGACACGTTCCTGAGGCTGCTGGAGGAGGGGCTCAAGGTCATCCCTGGGATGAGCCTGCCGGACATTTTCCCGTCGTCGCGTCTCGCGATGCGCCTCAGCCGCGTGCCCGGACAGATCGAGCGTCGCCGTGGCGCCATGCTCGGTTTCATCAACACTATCATCGAGGAGCGCAAGAACAGAGACGCCGCCGCTACCAGCATCGAGGAACACGACGAGGACTTACTTGACGTGCTCCTGAGGCTCCAGAAGGACATGGACTCCCAGTATCCCCTCACCACTTTGAACATCAAAACCGTTATCATTGTGAGCTCTCTTTACAATCAACAAGAGCTGATGGCGGACCAAAACCTCCATAATGTTAGCAAATTCTTTAGGACTAGCATTAAACATCGACTCAATCTCGTAATTAGAACACCTCTTTAGAAGGGAAATCGGATACTAACCAGAATAAGCAGAGATCGCAAGCGAATAGCCCATGGCCACCAGCGTGAACGTGGCCAGCAATACGTAGAAGACGTCCAGAACGCCACCGGCACTAGAGGTGGCCGGCATGGGCAGCGGCTGGTCGATGTAGAAACCGTCGGCACAGCCTCGCGGTGGCCGATGGTGGAGATCGGTCTTCCAGCCCCTTAGCACGACTTTTGGATCGGGCAGTTGGGTCGATGGCACTCCTTCTGCTAGTTTTTCTTACGTGCTATCTTTCTACTTTTTATATCAAGTGCTGGGGCTGGGGACCGGGTCCAAAACCGTTGGTTTAGAGGCCTCCGATCAAGGCTCCTACGTGAAAAGGTATGGGGTCAAAACCTCCTGGTTTCTCTTGGGTTGTTACCTGAGATCAAGTTCCAACATTCTCCCCCTTGATTGTAAGGTTAACAAACATCATAAACCCGCTCGTAATAGAAATACCTACCAAAGTAAGGTGTCACAGTGACCTATCAGATGACACTGAACCTCAGTACTTATAGTATATCATTCTATCTTGAAACGGAAAACATAACACTTTATGGGAGTTGGATTATTCAACGGTCGTTATTTCCAGGATCAACAAGACTTTCCAACAACCCATGCTAGCAACATAATGATACATTGGGTGGTAAGTCTATGATAAACGGATCCGTAAAACATTCAGACGTACTCATACGCTCAACTTCAATAGCTTGATCCTGGACTCTATCTTTCACAACACGAAACATATTGTCAATGGTTTTGGCAGTGCCATTTGACTTGTTGTTACTCGCATAGAAAATTGCATGTTCATATTGCAGTAGGTGGTTTAGAAATGCTGTCTACCACCATCATTTCGGGAATAAAACTTATTTGACATGCAACCTGCTCAACAGCCTCTTAGCATGCCACATGATAAATTGCATCATTACCGATGCCATCGGTGTCATTATGGAGCTTTTCCACGATATAGCTCCATACGCGAGGGTGGGGGTGTAACATAACGTGGAAACTTAATATCCACACACCTCGCAAAAACAATGTTTGAGTAACCTATGATATCGAGGTTACGATACTCAGTGAGCATGTAAACTTTAATGCCTTGATTTACTGCAAGACTTTTAGTTGGCTTTCCCAGTGGTCCGTTTCTGGGCTTACTTGTACATTTGCCAAGTATCCCCGATCATAAATAGGGCACATTCATACTTGAATACTTGTACTGCTTCTGACAGCTGAAGCATAGTTAAACAACATTATCTGATCAGTTCATAATGGTTCCTTGGACACTAAGATGCCCATTTTTTATGGCCCTTAACTTTAATAGCAGGTGAGACAGAGTACTAGTACATAATTATTTTTCTTTTGTACTCTACCGACGTATGTCATAATAATAAGACTTATACTCCTTTTGGACCAATATCTTGATGAAACTCAATACTAGCAAAGTATGAGGCATCACCAAGACTTGTACTCATAAATAGAAGATAGATATTTCTTGGCTCGCCAAGAATATTTCATCTTCACAAGGTAGTAAGCTTACTCCCCCTCAACTTATGGTATGAGTGTCTCAATGCTCGTCTTATTTCATAACTATATTTGAACAACATGCTTTATGTCAACTTTATCTTCATAACGAAATCTTATGGTTGAGTCATACATACATTTTAACCAAGGTAACACAAGAGCATGTTATAATAATAACACAAGCATCACAACAACTCACTAAGGAAACTCTATTGAGTTTCATTGGTCATTAGAGCTCATAATTTTCATCCTATATGGAAGCAAGGCACTAAGATGATCATTCACACACATTATCAAGCATAGAGAAATTGTTAAGGCTCAACATTAAGCCCCGCAATAGAAATTTCTTCTAAACTTACCTGATGCATATGAACAAAAATCTAACGGAGTTATCTTTAAGATTCATGTTCATACGCTCCAGGTTCCCTGATAAATCACTTTAGAAGATGGAAAAATAAATTCAAAAGTTTGATGGCAATCATCTCAGCTCTAAACCACAACACCGTTGGGCAGAAGATGGAAAAGAACTTCATGATTTGCAACTCATGATTATAAAATGACGTTGGTCAAAAAAATAACCATGAGCCACATGGTACTAACAAACTTGCCACTTGAGTGAAGTGTGACACATGATTACAAACGACGTTGGTCAGAAATATAACCACAAGTCACATCATAATCATCATTAGATTAGCAAGCTTGCCACTTTAAATCTTAATGTGTGCTTCATAGTTCTTATAAGGGAGCAAGTACATGTAATTCTTCTAAAAAGGAAGTAAGGACATTCATGTGATCTTTCAAACACTATAATAATTCATTCTCCAAAATAGGACTTCTTGTTGGTTCCATCCTACTCGGAGAATTTAATACATTCACCATTTCCCATATTCAATGAGACATTCCATTCCCCCTTTCGAAATGTGGTAAGCATGACCACAATTTCGACAAGGTCTCATTATTCACTTACATCATAAGAGTGCCATGGCACATTTATTACAAACAATACATTTATAAATATTCTCACCACATGGTAAGACCATCATCGAAAGGTTGCATTACGAAGAACAAAAGGTTCATATGAATAAACAAAATGTCTTCAAATGCTTTATTCTTTATTGTCCTCGTAGCAAAACTCCTTAAAGCCTATCTTTAATGGGTAAAACATCTTCAAAATGTTCCTCAATAAAGACAAAATACTAATTGGCATATGAAGGAGGTGGTATGTTTCATAATAAGAAATGAACATCGCTTTGACTTCTCCCACTTCATAGCTTTTAGGTCATAATATTCCTTCCCCTCAACGGAATTTACAATAGAAACTCTAGGAGCCTCTTCATATAGTGCACGATGAAGGTCAAAAATCTCCATCATGAATAGAGTCCTTCCCTTCCAATTTAAAGATTAGCCCTAGTCTTCAAATAAATGAACTCTACTTTATGGTCCATTGTTGAAAACAAGGACAATTTTTTTTATGAGCATCATCATGAAACATCAAACATAATCTTGAATGATCTCAATCAAAAGAGGCTAATCATGTTCTAATATGTATCACCATTGGGTTGAAAAATGAAAAAAAAACACTCCGCATCCCAAAAAGTGGGACATGACAATAATCAACGTTGGTCGGAATACTGTCATATACCATAAAACATATGCTCATAAATGAAATCTCTAATCAAAGCTTTATGTTTTGACTCCAGAAACTTAGAATCATAAAATGATCAGCGAACTTATGTGCTAAATTAATAGCCATATAATTAACATAAAGTACCAATAAATGATGCAATCCAGTGTGTTATCAGACACATGAACTTATAATTTATCACTGGTCATCTTGCATTAAACTTGACATTATAATTTCAATAACATCAACAAAATATGTCAAGTTTATGATTAAAAACTTCAGTTACATGATAACAAAACTATCATTCTTTTAAACATTCTCATCATGGCATTTAACAGAGTAGACAACAGATTGACATCCTCATTGACAATGACACCATAACATTCTGCAAACAAAATTTGGAAATTGCACCGTGTTTTCACCAAATAATAACATTTGGTGAACTTTTAATTGTCAACAATTGAGAAAACATGACCATGATATCACATTAAAACTATCTAGACATCCTTATTTAGAGAATCATCCCGCTGAGTTTTCATCACCTTTTATGAGTGCATGCCAAAGGACAAAAAAATGCACATGGCATAATACTTTAACATCATGTCTCGTCATTATTAGGCTGCATAGTGCGTTGCGGAAAAACGAACCACACAACCAGTAATTAACATTTTCTTTAGGGTGGCCTCAGCCCATTAGAGATGATCACAACATAAATCTCATGCTACAAATAAAATTTTGAAAAAAGATGTCCATAAAAAATGCTATAATTTTTTTTTTGAAACAAACTTTAAAGAGTCACACATAATCATGCTCAAAATCAAGGTCATCTCATAATGTTCGTAACTCAACATTGAAATGCTATAAAAATGGCATCAACATTAATCTTGTAGCACTATACCCCCCCTTCAAATTCAAACATTTCCCGATATAAACAGTGCATACAACATTATTTGAAAATTTGTAAACTTCATAAATAGCACTGAAAAAAAAGTCTAACTAGTTCATCTTACAAATGGACCACATCAGTCTCATATTAAATATCAATTTACAATACTAATCCTCAGCATTTGTTGATATTTAAAATGATATTCCACATTAAATGACACAAAAAGACATTAATAAAACATGTCAAAAGAATCTGAATAAAATTTCTAGTTGGTTCCATTTTATTCAGAAAACATGTTAAACATAAAATCAGGCACTTTAAATCTTTTTAAACAGTGCAAAAAACATTTTAAGCATTACAAAATATAATAGCACTTAATTAAAAAAGACTTAAATTCGGCTCAAAAGCGCTTGCGGCCCATCAGGAAATTCCGCCCGAGCGGGGCGTTAGATAAAATAAAAGCAGCCATAGGCCTAATCAAAACTTGAGTCGGGGCCCTTAGAAGAAGTTGGTCCATTAGGCTCCCGTGGTCCATTTACTTCCCCGCATTGATCCCCTCCGTCAGATCAAATCGAACGGCCAGGAATCGGCGCAGTCGGAACAAAATTGTCGGCCCGTCTAACCCTAATCCCCATTCATTCCCTCCTCCCCCGATTTCCCCGCGGCGAGCGAGAGCGGCGGCGCTGCCGCCGATTGTGACGCGCGCCCATCACCACGGCGACGCGGTGGGCTTGTTCGCCGGCGCGCGCGTGCATCGACGAGACGGTGCGCGCGGCGTCGTCGAACTCGCCCTCTCCGCGTCGTGCGCGTGGTCTTTTTTGTGGAGCTGGTGGAGGTGAATTGCCGTTGGCCATGAAAAAAAAGGGGATGGCGGTAAAGCGCGGCATGGAAGCCGCACTTGCTCGTCGTCCATTAGGCTGGGAAGCGCCGGAAAACATGATGTGTGGTTGTACGCCGGCGTTCCGGCCGCCATAAAGTACGCCGGTGCCGCGTGATTTGAGGAGGTGACGACGGCGCACATGCCACTCCGGCCATGTGCTTCTAGTCCATCAGTTCGGCAGCGACCAAGAGATTGTGGTGCTGCGGGCGTTAAGTTTGCGCACATCGGCTATTGCCATGGCACGGAGGCTGCGCGGCCCGACGCACATATATAGGTAAGTCTTGATCTTCAATCTGGGGATTTTATTGCTTTCGGATTTCGAAAAATCGGGGATTTGGGTTTCATAAAATTGGGTAAAATTTGGGATTTCTGCAATTCGCTATTCACCTCCTTCTAATTGCTTAAACAGGCCTTAACATCCTAATTACATTAACTTAATCTCAAAACATCAGCAGTATTCCACAAACCATAACAGAACTGTACATGATCATGTTTTAGCCCTAACCCGTATCAACTAGACCTTAACCTTAAGAAATTGACCATAAACAAGGGTCACTAATTTAGGATAATTAAACCTTTAACATGCACTTATCTTAAAACAGAGAACATCAGGACTTACACAAGATCATTAACTTAAAAACATCATGAAACCCTGATTAGGGTTCTAACTGAGATTAACTAGCTCATGATACCAATGTTAGCAAATTCTTTAGGACTAGCATTAAACATCGACTCAATCTCGTAATTAGAACACCTCTTTAGAAGGGAAATCGGATACTAACCAGAATAAGCAGAGATCGCAAGCGAATAGCCCATGGCCACCAGCGTGAACGTGGCCAGCAATACGTAGAAGACGTCCAGAACGCCACCGGCACTAGAGGTGGCCGGCATGGGCAGCGGCTGGTCGATGTAGAAACCGTCGGCACAGCCTCGCGGTGGCCGATGGTGGAGATCGGTCTTCCAGCCCCTTAGCACGACTTTTGGATCGGGCAGTTGGGTCGATGGCACTCCTTCTGCTAGTTTTTCTTACGTGCTATCTTTCTACTTTTTATATCAAGTGCTGGGGCTGGGGACCGGGTCCAAAACTGTTGGTTTAGAGGCCTCCGATCAAGGCTCCTACGTGAAAAGGTATGGGGTCAAAACCTCCTGGTTTCTCTTGGGTTGTTACCTGAGATCAAGTTCCAACACATATCACATAAACGAGGGCATAATGTTTACTTACTTTGCTTCTTTTGCAGGACATGTTTGCTGCTGGCAGCGAGACCTCGTCCACGATGATCCAGTGGGCGATGGCCGAGCTGATGCGTAACCCGACGGTGATGCAGAAGGCGCAAGAAGAGGTCCGGAGAGAGCTCGCCGGCCACGACAAGGTGACGGAGGATGGCCTGACGAACCTGCACTACCTGCAGCTCGTCATCAAGGAGACGCTCCGGCTGCACCCCGCGGCGCCGCTGCTCCTGCCGCATGAGTGCCGCAGCCCGTGCGAAGTGCTCGGGTTCGACGTGCCCCAGGGCGCGATGGTGCTCGTGAACGCGTGGGCAATCGGCAGGGATCCGGCGCACTGGGATGCGCCGGAGGAGTTCATACCGGAGAGGTTCCAGGAACAAGGTGGCATGGGCGGCAGAGACTTCAAGGGAACGGACTTCGAGTTCGTGCCGTTCGGCGCTGGCAGGAGGATGTGCCCCGGCATGTCGTTCGGTCTGGCCCACGTCGAGCTCGCGCTGGCGGGGCTGCTGTTCCACTTCGACTGGCAGCTGCCGGAGGGGATGGCCCCCGAGGAGATGGACATGACCGAGGCGGCCGGGATCACCACGCGCCGGCGGTCTGACTTGTTGGTGATTTGCATCCCACGTGTCCCAGTGTCGATGGAGTATGTACGGTATGGATAATGTTGTCTTGCCTGATAACTTGTGAAGTGGCGACCTTTTTCCGTTCAGTGTGTCACATATATATGGTTATGGCAACCTTATATCTACATGTAACAGTTGCGGGTGGCTAATCTCTTAATTAGTGTGGGTGTGAAGTTTAAACTATACTTTTGTTCGCATCTCTTGTACTTGTGTTCTGCCTTTATATAAACTAGATGACACCCCGCACGTTGTTGCAGAAACTCTTAGTACTACACATATGATAATACATAATCAAATAACTTTGTTTGCACAATAGAGATAGCCTTAATATGAAAATTACTAAGAAACACAATACTTGGACTATAATTATGATCAAAGAAAAAAAATCTGAATTATGTGGTAAGTTCTCTACTAAATGTAGTGAAATGACATTAGTAATTTCATATGAGTAAATGATTTTCCACATCTACATAGTTGTTATGACATCAACAAAGATGAAAACTAAAACCGGAGATAGGCATCGTAGTAGCTTGCTAGACTTGATGGCGAGAGATGGAGCTCCAATATCGAAATAAGAACAAAATCAATTAAGATCATCTAAACAAAAGAGTCCCTTAGATAATAGTATGAGACTTACACATAGCTAAATACCAATCCAAATTATCCATGTAGTTAAAAACGCCAACCACATGCAACCAACTAACCATATGAGGTATTCTCTTAGTGAGGTTCACACAGTGGACATGTGGTTTGTATATTCAAGATTCAGCTTGCTTCTATACAACACACAGGGGAGAAACGAAATTCAGCTTGTACATATCAAGAACATTGGTTGACACAGGAACATTCAGCTTGTACACACCTGTATTGTTGGTTTGCTCGCACCATTCCCCACCGGTGGTAGATCGCTGATTTTATCCAGACAGCTATGGGGTAAAAAGGAGTCCCTGTAGCCATGCTCTTGGCATCTACATATCATTTGCCTCCTAAATTGATTTTGAGCTTGGAGCTGGTGAAGAAATGCATCAGTTCAGGCAGTCAGGTGGAAGAGTCTCCCCAGGTGCATGAGCCTAGATGAACATTGCCTCTAAAATCCCGAGTCAAAGCTATGAACATGCACAGAGGTTTAGAACATTTGGAAGTGAAATAATGTCATTGCACACTGAAGGGAAAACAGAGAAGTGCAAGTGTGTCAAGCAGCACCTTATCCCATCTCCAGGAATGATGCTAGTGTGGTTTTTTCCTTTGTTGAATGAAACGAAGCTCCTAACGTTTTCCAAAGGAAGAACCTAGTGCCGAAGTACTCTGCAAAGTACAGGAATGCAAAAACACTTGGTGCTGAACTTCGTTACATGGACTCTGATTGGATCCGTTCGTCCCAGAAAAGCTCATCTGAAAAATAGAATTTACATCAATCCTTTAATAATAGTAATAGTCGCAAAAGATGCACAAAGTGTCAGGCAACATTGCAGATTATTAAAAAATCATGAACCATTCCTTGGTATATGGTAGAGGCAATGTTGGGAATTTAGACACTCGATCTCTCAATCACAGAGAAGACAGGTTTTTTGCGTCGCGTGCAAACTTGCGACCTTTTCACGTTTTTCTTTCAGCTATTTATTCTGTTACAACGGGAAAGAGGCAGGTAGCGATCCTAACTACGCGCCACGATCCGCCGGACTCGCGCCATCCCACGAGAGCTGATCATGTCTCCTACGCTACCTGCGAGGCCACCGGGTCGATCGTGGTGACCACGTCCAACCGGCCCAAGCTAGCTACTTGCACGGCGCGCACATGTCGCGGCTCATGCGTTTCTGTTTATTTGACAGAGAAACAAACTGGCCTAAGCACAACGACTAGATTAGCTAACAAATCACCCCCCTAATCTTGACGTTGGCGAATTATTTCAACCATACCGATCCTCTTCTTCAGCTCCTGAAAGATGAGACGTCCAAGTGCCTTCGTCAGAGAATCAGCCAGTTGATCACTAGTTCTGACGTAGTCGATGTAGATTCGCCCCTGCTCCACACACTCACGAATGAAGTGGTACCTGATCTCTATGTGTTTACTGCGATCGTGGAACACAGGGTTCTTCACCAGGGAAATCGCCGACTTGTTGTCGACGAGAAGCTTCGGCAGAACGGCCTCCTTGTTCAACATCTCGCCAAGTAGCCGCGCCAGCCAAATACCCTGACACGCAGCGGTGGTGGTGGCCATGTACTCTGCCTCGCACGATGAGATCGCCACCACCCTTTGCTTTTGGGACTGCCAGCTCACCGGGCTCTTGCCGAGGAGGAAGATCACCCCCGTCGTGCTTTTCCTGTCGTCCGTGTCCCCGGCGTGATCCGAGTCGCTGTAGCCGGTTAGCCGCAGCTCCCCCCCCGCCGCGCTCATATGCGCAGCCGTGGTCCAGTGTCCCCGCTACGTACCGCAGAAGGTGCTTTACGGCGGCGTAGTGGTCGGAGGCAGGCTTCTCCATGAACCTGCTCAAGTACCCTACTGCAAACGTAATGTCGGGTCTTGTGTGTACCAGATACCTCAGCCCGCCGATGATGCTACGATACTTGGTCTTGTCCACCGGGGCCGCGGCGCTCTCCTTGCTCAATTTGAGCCGAGCCTCCATGGGAGTGTTGCAAGGGTTGCAGTCCTCCATGCCCGCACGCTCCAGCAGCCGCTTGGCATAGGCCGCCTGCCCGAGCACGATCCGGTCGCACTCCTGGCTCACCTCGATCCCGAGGTAGTAGTTGAGCTTGCCCAAATCGCTCATGCGGAACAGCCTGGTCATTTGCTGCTTGAAGACGTCGATCTCTGATGTGGCCGCGCCGGTGATGATGAGGTCATCTACGTAGACTCCGACGATGAGGAGGGAGCCGCCTGTGCCGCGTCGGTACACCGCGTGCTCTGACGGGCAGCGCTCGAAGCCCAGCGCGCAGAGGCTCTCGTCCAGCTTTGCGTTCCAGGCCCTCGGCGCCTGGCGGAGCCCATAGAGTGCCTTGCGGAGGCGCAGCACTTTGTCTTCCTGACCGGCCACAGCGTACCCCGGCGGCTGCTGCACGTAGACTTCTTCGAGCAAATCCCCGTTCAGGAATGCGGACTTGACGTCCATGTGATGAACCTGCCAGCCGTGGTGCGCCGCGAGTGCGATGAGCACACGCACCGAGTCCATTCTCGCGACTGGTGCAAAAACTTCCTCGAAGTCGATGCCCTGCCGCTGGACATAGCCTTTTGCCACCAAGCGCGCCTTGTGCTTCACCACGGCGCCACGAGCGTCCTTCTTCAGTTTATAGACCCATCTCAGGCCGATCGGACGGTGACCAGGTGGGAGCTCGCTCAGCTCCCAGGTGTTGTTGGCGATTATACTCTGCATTTCTTCGTCCATTGCTGTGCGCCATCCCTGATCCCTCTCTGCCTCAGTGAACGAGGCCGGCTCCTCGCCCGCGAGCAGGCACAGGTCGCTGTCGCTGTAGACGGCCTCCACCTCCTCCGTCGTGTCCCACACGTTCTCAAGGGTGCGGTACCGGCGTGGCGCCTCCGCGCCGGCAGGTGCTTCCGACGCACCGGTGGGTGGTGAGACGAATTCAACGCCCGTTGGTGTCGAGATGGGCGTTCCGTACGTCGGGGAGGCAGGTGAGGGCGCGCAGGTCGCGCTCTGTGGCGTGGATGGCTCGGTAGTGGGCGTGGGCACCGCATCATGCGTGCCAGGGGAAGCATGCACTGGCTCTGCCCGGGCGCCAGCAGGCACCAGCTCGATGGTGAAGACGTCCATGCCGACGCTCTGTCCTTCTACCACAGAGCTCCAGTCCCATGATGCACTCTCGTCGAACACGACGTCGCGCGAGACATGAGCTCGCCCGAAGGGTGGGTGATAGACACGGTAAGCCGCTGATCCAGGCTCGTACCCGAGGAACACCATGGGCACACTCCGGTCGTCCAGCTTCTTCACGTTCGGGCGTGTCACCTTCACGTGAGCGACGCACCCAAAGGTACGAAAGTGCTGGACACTTGGCCGGCTCCCACACCACGCCTGGTATGGGGTCATGCCGGTCACGCTCTTGGTTGTCGCCCTGTTGAGTAGGTGCACCGCAGTCGTCACGGCTTCGCCCCAGAAGCGAGCCGGAACACCCTTGGCCTTGAGCAAGCACCTTGCCATGCCGACGATCGTCTGGTTACGGCGTTCGACCACGCCGTTCTGCTGCGGCGTGTATGGGGCGGTGAGCTGCCGGTGCACCCCCAATTCCGCGAAGAACTCCCCAAGGCTGGTGGAGTTGAATTCACCCCCACGATCGGTGCGCAGAGTCTTGAGACGGTGGCCGGACTCGCGCTCTGCTGCTGCCTGGAACTGACGGAGCGCCGCTTCCGCCTCGTCCTTCGTCGTGAGCAGCCGCAGCCACATGAAGCGACTCTTGTCGTCGACGAGCAGGAGGAAATACCGCTTCCCTCCCGGCATAGCAGGGGAGATCGGCCCGCACAGATCCGCGTGCACAAGCTCGAGCACCTCCCCGGCGCGGTTCAGTGCTTGGCGAGGGAAAGGAGCTCGACGGTGCTTCCCTGCCAGGCATGCCTCGCAGACGCGGTCCACCTCGTCGAGGAGGGGCAGACCGTGCACCATGTTGCCCCGTGAGAGCGAACGGAGCGCCTAGAATCCGATGTGGCCGTAGCGCGCGTGCCACAGCCATGCTTCGTCGCCAGCGTGCATTGCAAGGCACACTGGTCGCGCCAGGTTCAGGCGCAGTACGTACAGGCGTCCGTGGTCTCGCTGCACACGCGCGACTAGCCGCCCGTTCGGGTCGCACAGCGTGAACTCGCCGTGGCGAATGTGCGCGTTGTAGCCACTCTCGTCCAGTTGCCCTATGCTGACGATGTTGCTGCACAACCTGGGCATATAGTACACCTCCGACAGAATGAGATGCTCACCGTTGAGGCATTGGAAGAGGACGGTTCCTCTCCCCTCGATCTGCACCGTAGACCCGTCCCCCAGCTTCACCGCGCCGCGCACACCACAGTCCAGCTCGGAAAAGATCTCGCGCCGGCCGGACATGTGGTTGCTCGCGCCTGTGTCCAGGAACCAGGCCGTGTCGCACTCTCCTCCGTTCGGCACCGTGCGCGCCTGCGAGTGCTCCTCGTTGAGCAGGACGTGCTCCACGGGCGTCTCCGTGGGTGCGGTGAGCTCGCACAGACTCGCCAGGAGGAGCGTGAACTCCTCGGTGCCGCCCTCCGCAAGGTGGACCTGCTCCTTG